TCACGAAGAACAACAAGTATTTTTGTGTGAAAGTCCTTGTTTCCGCACGGGAATTGTCCGTAACGCCATGTTTCTTTAGGAGAAGAGGGTGGCAGTCCATGCTGAACAAATTGTTCTTCTCCTACAGAAACATGGCGTTACACGGAAAACGGTTGACCTCCTTGTGACGAAACATTCACTTTCACAGGTAGAAAAATGAAGTTCCATGCAGAAACATTGAGTTTCTCGAGAAAAAGATGAAGTTCCTGTGAAGAAACACGGACTGAGACATGTAAAAAGATGAGGTTATTGTGGAGAATCATCGACGTACTCAGGAAAAAGGATGAAGGTCTTGGGACACAAGCAGTTTCTGAGGAAAAAACATCCAGTTCCATGAACAAAGATTTAGTTTCTCGAAAGAAAAGGACAATTCCCGTGCGGAAACAAGGACTTTCACACAAAAATACTTGTTGTTCTTCGTGAAGAAACAAGGACTTAGACAACTAAAAACATCAGGTTAACGTGGAGAATCACCAGCATGAACAAGTACAACACAACATAGAGTTGTCTACACAAGCAACATGTTTAAATTCAGATAAGATAAATCGAAAGATAATATTGCATAGGCGATAATAGGAGTGAAGTTTAGCAGGAAATATATTCCATTTAAAACATCAGCTATTATTTTGTCCATTTAATTATTGTTTGAATCGTGTTATTTCATAATTTCTGCCAGCATGTGTCTTAATAATTGCTTTCAGTTCTAACCGTGTGAAACAGTACGAGATCAAATTCTATTCCATTTTTAGCGATTCGAGCGTGCATTTTTCGTTATTCCATTATCTGGTCTTTTTTAAAAAAGCTCAATCTACTTTTTATCTCTATTCTTTCTAATTGATGGTTTATAAAGTTTACGAACCTATTACTCTACTGTTTCAGACTGACATTCCCGTTCAGTTTCTTTTGTTTGAGTGTGACGCCTACCAAATAAGGTCAAATCGTGTTTCTATCATAGTCTAAGACATTTAGGATCGTTTTCTGCCATGATTGATTGATTCAGACATTTAACCAGATAAAGAAAGATAACCAGAACCGTATGTTAGATTTACTTGCCCATCCTCATTTGCAATTTGTTTTCTTTAACACCAACGGGACTGCTTTTTCTTAACATTCTCTTTTTCAGACGTATTTAGAAAAAAACGCTGTTTGGTAACTCTTTTTTTAAAAATATCTTTCATCTTTCATTTGTGTAGAACAGAGGTGCAACCGGTATCGGTATGAAGTATAGCGCCGACCGATATACCGGCCAGTTTACCGGTACCGATATGAATTATAACGGCGACCGGTATATCGTGATTAATATGAAGTAGAATCAGTCGGCCGATATTTTGCGGTAAGATACGATTTTTGCGACAAACGTTTAAATTCAGTTCATGTATGACATATTTCTTCCACTAAAATTTCATTCCAATTACTTAAACTTTGTCGACTTATATAAACTTCTTAATTTAAAAGAACAAATTGGATTGCTGTTTCTGTTATAAAAAGAAGCGTGTGAAAAATCAGCTATACATAATCAAAGTGAAAAGATTTATCTATCTCTTTGATGGCATAAGTAATTGAAGAAGAAAAGAGTAATCAGTTTCTTTCGTTGAATATTAGTAGACTTCTTTACATGTATGAAACACAATCACAACTGCATTTTAAAAAAAATGGATACTGATAAGTTGTCGTCTACAGATATTCAAACAAAACTGAAATCTCCCCTCACATTCTGAATAACTGTAAATAAAATTCACAGTACAGAAAAACAAAAAAGGTATTTGTATTTAAGCAAAACATAATCAAGACAAGCCGGTACCGACCGGTATTCATATCACATCACACATCCGCAATGCTGTGTTCTCTTCTTCTTCTCGTTCTCCTTGTCGCTAGTACGAACAGTGACAAAGGACCTTCGACCATACGAATTTGGCGGAGATTATTCGACCATAGGCAAATTACCGTTAGAATCTACTGATGAGGACTGGCAGAATGTTCGATCTGATTCCATTACACTCATTGATCTCAATGTTAATGTTACCTCGCAGACAATCACCTAAAAGAAAAACTTTCTCGATGGTGCTCAAATCTACATCCGTTCGCGGATAAAGGTAAAATGCAGATTTTTTTTGCAGATTGCAGATGCAGATCTGGCTGTGATTAGTTAGACTAATTTTCTCCAAAAAAATCATTATTTTTAAAAACTAATTACATTTTCGCGATGTATCTTTTCAAAAAACATACAAAATATAATAATAATTGATATACTATCTTGTGTTTCGGGTAAAATTTCTTTGGTAAATGAACCACATATGAGCGCTAATAAGTTATTGCTTTTACTACCCTTCATTTTTTCAATTTCATTTAAAAATATCTTCGAATCATCAAAAAATAAACAATTATCATTATTTATTTGTCGTAGTAAAGTTTTGGTATATAGCGAATCAAGCGAATTTTCTTTTGATTTTTCAACGAGTCATATTAATGTAAACTGATTGGCAGCTCTTCCATCGTTTAATGATATCTCACGATGTTGTACAATTTGTGAAAAAGCTAATGAATTACAATTGGCTTCTTTTTGCTGTTTTGAAATTACAGCTCCCATAGTGATTCAACCTTAAAAGAACGCGAAACAATGCTGCTCATCTCATAATTATGAAGAAAAAGTATGCTCATATTATTGCAATCTGTAACGGCGGACAGTTGTATAAGTTTATGGAGAATCGAAGTAAGTAAACTGTTAGTGTACAAATGTGTTCGTTTTTGAAACCATTATGGCTCCAGCAACTGCCAAAGACAATATGTTTTCATAGTTTAGTTCTTATTTCTTTACGGGTGAGTTCGTCTTCCTGGATCATTTATTGTTTTATTTATTTCAAAAGATGTTTTGAAATACATAAGGAATCTTTTTTTCTCTTCTTTCCTTTTGTTAATTGCCTTTGTGCGTATATAGATTTATACAGAATAAAGAAATGCTACCTAAGTTGACTTCACTGCATATTAATTAAGCATTTGTACAATTTGGTGCCGAGAGTTGCATCAAAATAGATCATACTATGCACGATATCGATTCGCTGCGAACTCAAATACAGTAGTCATGTTTTCGGTTCGCATCGCCGCGGTGCGAACCGATATATACATCTACATAGAATATAACGGTTATATTCCATGTAGATGTATCAGACACATGTACAGGGTTATTCGTATGCAACGGTTGGGAGCAGGAGGGGAGGTGAGGTTAAAAGTGAGTTCGAAAAGTAGTTGCACGACAGTCTAAATCCCTACCATACCATAGATCCTTTTGATGTCCTGAATACCACAGATACTCAGATTTTTTTTCCGTTCAATAGTAAAAACACAGTAGCTGTTGAATATTTTCTTCTGTCTGTTTAATAGCTTATATTTTACTTTTGAAAGTATTTCAATGAGGAGTTGAAACATCGAGATAAAAATAAAACGAAATTAATAAATAAATGACTGCAAATCCATACAAAAAATCTATTTTAATATTAGTTTAATTAAATGACTTTTTTCCTTGTAGATGTTCATTAAATGATGGAATAAAATGGGAAGATTGTTATTAACTATTCTGTTAAAAACATGGAATATTACTCAGTTTCAGTATTTAGGATTTGCATGAATACGCTACAAATTAAGTGTGTACAAATGTTACTCTCCATCTCTTTTCTATTGTATTATTTAATTGATTAAAAGATCCATGTCATTGTACTTCTCTGAATTTGGACTTCCTCATGATCCCTTACTTGACCCCCATTAAATAGAAATAATAATCGTTTACAAAATCGAACAAAAATATCTTTAATAGTAATTGTGTCAATAGCTGCTCTTCTTATTGTATTAACTTCACAATGTATAGATGTAATTCATCTGACATTTGGTTAGATAAAGAAGATAATCTTTTTATTGCTGGTACTAGTAATAATCGAATACAAAAATATAACGGTACAGTAATAACAACTGTGGCTAGTCGTGGATTGATATCACCAACGAGTTTGTTCATAGACAGCAATACTGGTGATATTTATATACTTGATTATGATAAACATAAAACAAATGACTTACGAAAAATTCGAAATTATCGTGTGCAATATTGGCCAACAAACAATTCTGTTGCAGCAGAAAAGGACAAACTAATTATTCATGGAATTGGTGAAAGTACTAGTTTATATTTAGATAAAGATTTAAATATTTATACATCTGAACAAACTCGTATAATAAAATGGTTTGGGCCTGATTATATATATTCTATAACGGTAGCTGGTAGGAATAATCATAACATAGCTCAGCAAACAAAATGGCGAACACATAATGACTTTTATGTACATCAAAATTATACTTAGAGTTGACCAAAAGTTCGTAGAACGGTGATTCCGCCCTCCCCTCCTCACACCGTGATCAAAACTTTTGGTCAACTCTAAGTATATTCTGACAGCGCTGGAAATTCTCTATCGTCCTATATATTTGTCTACTGTCTTACATTTATCTATTGCAAAAATAACTTGAGTATAATGAAGACACCCTCATTTGATAAGCGTGCCTGCATGATAGTCAAATTATTCTTCAGCACAGAAATGCAAGATAGAACAAAAATATTCGGAGGCATTGACTCGGAGGCACTGCACTAAAACTGGTGTTTAAACGGTTTCAAGTTTAGAAGTCGATATGATCAGACAGCGAAAAACTGAATTTATTTTTAAAAGCGAAACGTTTTTCGAAAAATTGTATCTTTTCAAGTTTTCTCGACTTTTTACGTTAAAAAAGAATTTTTAAAATTTAAAAACAAGTTATTCTTACTTTGCTTGACAAACTCTATCCAACCATGTACAAAAAAACGAAAACAAAAACTTCACTCATAAGTCAAATTTCCGACATCTTACAGCCATCCACTAAAATTCTTCCATTGTCTGTTATAATAATGATCCAATGGTTGAATTCAATCAGTTGCTTTTTCTGTATTTGTAGCCATTCCACCGTTTTTCCAATGGAATTTAAACAATCATAAACTATTTTAGCGTTCTGTTGTGTCCAAGAATCGGATAGGAGAAGACGTTTTCTACCATTAGAAATCTAAACACTAACCAATCAATTATGAGTGTCAAATGAAATTTTGAACGAAGAGTAAAAATGATAGAAACTATTGAAACTGCGGCAAGTATTTGGAGTATCAAACTTGCAGAACTATACGAACAATTTGTAGTACGTTGAGATAACGAATATCTCAGAATATCTTAAGATTATGTTGCGAATGTGTTTCGTCTATTCTCTATTTTCTTCTAAGATGGGTATTATTTATTTCATTTGAGAAATGCAGTCAAGAATGGCGGACAGAAAATGCCATATAGTCAGCAGAAGAGTCTGTTTTAGTGAAATAATATCCATGTGTGAAAAGAATATATTTATTTGTAGTGCTAAATAATTTTTTTGTTTACTTTCTGTTGATAAAAAGTTTTTGTGCTGCCACTGGAGTTGGTGCGACATTTCTCTTGTAGTCTTTTTTTATGGTTTTCTTTTATTTCCTAAATAATGCAGCGTTATATAGTAAAAAGGCAAGAATTGATTGCTTGACGTACATTTCCACTTGCTGTGACCACAGATTCGTTATGAAAACAAATTGAAGATAGACCACGTATATTTTGAGCTTCAATTACTTGACCTAAAGACACAAAAGCACTAACGGGAGTTTTCTACTACTGCAGTAGGCATATCAAATTCTGCTTGTTGCAGCTTTTCAAAGCAATCTTTAACAGCTGTAGCTTTCGTTTTTGTACTCCCGTCAAATAGACCGATATCGCTATCAATCTCACTGTTGTTATTATATCCTCTGAAGGTTTAGCTGTCTTACTTCTTGATGGTGTTAATTCAGTAGGTGTGTGTGCATAAAAATCTTTCAATCTAATAGCTTCAAAATCAGTTTTTTCATCGTAACCCGCTAAACATTGTTTATATTCATACATAATCGAAATATAACAAAATTAATACTCTTAAGCCCCAGCGTCAAAAAAAAATCTAGTATCGCCCGATTCATCCAGATTACTAGATTTTTACTCGATTGCAACTATTGAGTAACGACAGTGGAAATCGAGTAATCGGGGGATTGCTATATTTCTTCTAGTTGCAACTATCGATTTATTGTCCGATAATCGATCGATTTAACTATTGCTAGATGCACATGAATGTATAGATGCGTCTGCAAGCAGACGCATCTAGTTAAAAGTCCCTTTTCCAACTAGTAATCTAGTCATGTATCGTCCAATTCCAGACGAAATGTATCTAGATTTTTCTCATAGGTGATGTTTGCTCGAGTAGAATAGAAGAAACCCCAGCAATATGCAAACTAAGCATAGCCAAATCAACCGATCTACCTAAAATACACAGATTTAGATAGAGGAGACAAAGTCAGTAGTAGTAGAGTAAAACCTTATATAAAAAACTCTCAATTTTATAGAAGGTTTTACTAGGCATAAGTATTTGATCTACTACTGAAAAATTCAACATATAAACAAAGCAAACTACCTTCGATTTTTACTAAACTTTCATTCAATAATATTTAAGAATAACTACAAGATCGATTATCGAAAAGTGCATAGCCACTTAAATATTGGTAAGGACTATACTACATTATAATCCGAAACTGTAGTTAACTTAACCAAATGCATTGCTGTGCTCGATGCTTTCGATGCTAAATTCATTAAATTCAATTAAATTGTATTCTTTTTTTGAGAAACGCAGTTTCGTGCAAAAATATTGGCTTTAAGTTTTTTTGTGTCCGAAATGAAGACAGATTTGTGTAGAAAGATCTCAGCTTATTATCACCATTTATTTACTGAGGTAGTGGCAGAAATAGAACTCACAAAGCGGGCACAAATCAATCAAATTCGGGCACAAAAATGTAAAAAGATTTTTTTGTACGCGAACCGGGCACAAATCTATCTTAATTCCGGGCACAAAAAAATCTTCGTCACAAAATCTTCGCTTCTCAAGAAGAGATACATTGAAAAATATGGATTTGTATCACTTTTGAGAAGCTTTGTCTCAATTATAGAAGAAGAAGAAAGAAATTTAAATTAGAATTAAAGAACTCTTTTGTCAAGAAACGTTCTTTATTTTTTTAGTCTCAAAGCTATATGTGTTTATTTTCATTCTATTTTATGAGAGAAAATAAGTACAGACATCGAACAACAAGAATAAAGTGAACTAAAAGGTATTACTCATAAATCGTTGACTTACCATATGGCTATGTATACTTTGAGGCTAGTCTTCTCGTAAACTGAAAATAAACGTTTAGCAGTCGATGGTTTTTGTTTATTGCTTTGCATGGATGTGTCTGTACAATGAGTGAAAGATGAAATATGATTGAGAGAAAAAAAGTCATGTATGGGATATATTTGTCAGTGAATAAGTATTCCATCCAGTATGTGTAGCACGACAATACCAGGGCAGCTATCCATATTTGCAGAAATCTTTGATGTAATAGCTGCCTGTAATAGATAACGAACTTTGGCATAGACTTGAAATGTCAATGGTTTGTTCAACAAGTGACTATTATTATTAGCTATGACGGATTGGTCTCTGTTTTGAACTTAACATCTTGCAAGACAAACTGCGATCCGGTCAGCTCAAGACTCAATCATATGAATGCTTTTGTGTTTTCAACTGCTCATTTTCCTATTGTCCTTATGAAAAAATGAGCATTAGTACAGTATTATCAAATATTTCGCTGAAATAAGCGGTCGTTGTAGCAAGTGATGTAAGCATTAATTATACCACTTTTAGTACCCACGGTACAATTAAGAGCCCTCATGATTTGTTATTATAAATAGGTATGAACACCCTAGTGATCGATTCTTACAAAAGAATCTGAGAGGAATCTGATAAGGAACTTATAAGAATCCGCTATAACTAGTATAAGAATCTTATTCGATTCCGATTGAATTCTTACATAAGAGGTCCGCACGAAAGCGACAAGAATTTTATAAAAAGCAGATAAGGATCAGTCTCGCCACTAATCCACACTATTTCCACTGGGTAAATGGTGATCTAGCTAAATTTTAACACTCTCAGTTCGTACCGTACTGATTTATGCTGTAGCACACCACTACGATTGCATTAGTAGAACAGACGGAATTTGGATAGCATTTCCATTTTATTTATTTTCTCAGCGTTTTTCTCTCTCTCATTTTTATCTTTAAGAAGATTTTCTGTTACGAAATTCTCTCTCTCTCTCTCTCTCTCTCTCTCCTGCTTCTTGAAAATAAACAAACTTAGTTTTAATTAAGGATCTCCTTTTCCATAAAATGTTTACGAAACTTTCTCTCTCTGAAAAATACTGCATCAAGTATTTTAATTATAGAAAACCACACAAGAAAGCAAAATGAATCCAGGCCTAAAATTATTAACTACACCGAAATGTTACATATTATTCTTCTGTATTCAGCTTTCAGAGAAATTCAAAGAAATTCAACATAAGTTGAGTATGAAATAACAAAACTGACATAGAAAACGGCGGAAATAAACAGTCCACACAGTACACTTATCCATTTAATGCACCAGCGAAAAAGTCAATAATCTATCAACGTAATCACATTATGTTCGTAGGGTCCTCCGATGCGAACATAAATAAAGGAGGTTTCCGGTCGCTGCCGACCGCCCGAGTATAACAGCGCTAGAGAAGATACTCCAGCACCGCGCTATTAAGGCGAAGCATCTAATTTTCCTGTAGGCATAGGAATATTATGAATTTCTGTTGAATAGCGCATTGACACTATTTGCAACATCAACAAACTCATTGATATCTACCAATCTCAGATCAACAATATATCCAAGTGAACAAAAGCCCGGATTTTGTTCAACATATTTTGTCTGATGCTTTCACTGGAATAATATTGGATAATTAATCAAGCAAACAGTTAGTTTATGCAAGCGAGCCATTTTGCTCATTTTTTAATTGTTTTCCTTTTAGAGTATTTTAGCTCAACATTTTATAGGATGAGATATTTTATGGGACCAGCCATGAAGAAATGAATTATTAGTGGAATTATTGTTGAGAATGAATTGTTCACAAATGTACTTTATCATAAACATGCGCCTTATATGAAAGTGCTTGTACCATGAGTTAACGCATAAGTAATATAGGACTACACTTTTCTTCCTTGTTTCTTATAAGTCATCTCGTTTTCCACTTTCCATATGCATACAATATTTAAAAAGGTCATGAAAAGTTTATTTCATTCATTTAACAGCACAAAACAATATCTTTTTCTGTGGAAAAACCATGCATGATAAAGCCGAATTTTCAAAAATTCTATGATGATGTAATTCTCTCAACTGAAAGTCTAGGGAC